CCAAGGATCTCCCTCCAATTGTACTGTGTGGGGGAGCAGCAGGCTGGGTAGGGGAGGTGAGGAGGAGTCGGTGAAGGTCAGGAGTGAGGGGTGGGGTATCGGACACGGGTTGGGTGGGACAGAGTGGTGTAGGGTTAGTGGTCTAAGACTGAAAATACTTGCCCTTCATTTTGATGTTTGGTACTGTGTGAATCCACCATAGAGAGAAAGCAAGAAAAAAAAACAAACAAAAAACAAACAAACAAAAAAAGGGGGATTGGGTGGAAAGGGGGGAAGGGGGGTACAAACAATATTTTATTCAATCGCCGTTTGAATAAAAATATTGTGTATCATAATCATACCAAAAGGAAACCTCTTGCAAAAAACGACATGAAAAAGAAAAGGAAAAGGAAAACAAAACAATAAAAAAGAAAAAGGCCACAGTAAACTAATAAAAAGTATAGATATAACTAGAGAAATATATATATATATATTTATATACTCAAAATAAAAATGAAAGTCAGTAGCAAACAGTTGCAACAGTCTTGATATAGAAATGTTCTTACTGAGTTAGCATATCATGCAAAAAGTTGAGGTTAAAAGAGACCAGGTGGGGGACAGGGAAGGCGAGAGAGAGAGAGAAGAGAGATAGAGAGGCGGGACAGAGAAAAGCAGGAGGCAAGAAAGACAGAAACAAGGAAAGGGAAGGCATGTTTGCCTGAGACCCCCATCCTGTTAGTGGTGTGGTCCTACTGGGAAATATGTTATGTGCTTTGCTTTTTACAGGTGACTCAGTATCCTGTACTGATTTCAGAGGGCATGGGAATACTGTCTAGAAAACAAGAACATAGGACATGGGCTGAGCAGTCCTTGGTGAGGAAGTCAAGTCTGGGGAGAAGGCCTGAACTAGGTTTGATATTTTATTTTGAGATCCCTCTGTGTGTAAAACCAATCTCCAGGGAGAGGTATGCTTTGACCTACACAAGATATGGGGAGTCACAAGATGTTTCTGAATCCTTTTTGTGAAAGCACGGAAACGTGGGGGCATTCCTGAAATAGAGGAACAGCCCAGGCTGCAGCAGACCTTGCAGCTGCCCCTTAACCTGGGGCTTTGGGGGCAGTGAATGCCACCCAGGATGGGGCTGACTGAATACTCTGTGGCCTACCTGCTTAGCCTCAAGGGGCAGTTGCTGCCACCTACCTGAAGTAGGAATCCTGGGCAATTCACTCATGCTACATTTTAATGGGTGAAGTACAGGCTGCACCTTGAGCCTGGGTGAGAACAACGGTGCCAACTGTGAAACCCTTCCAGGTCTGCCCTGGACTGGTTATGTTCTTGGATGAGCCATGGTGCAGGGCTGAATCCCTACTCTGAGGTGCATGGCTCTGGGTCTTTTCCCAGTGACTTCCTAACTGAAGGATTTGACTACTAAAGACTGAGCCATGAACTGACATCTCTCCAGAGCAGGTTTTAGGTAGGTTGCTAGCACGGATGCAGGCCCAGCCTGCTGGACCCTGCTGCCTGCAGTGGCAGAGATTTAGCAATACCCAGGGACATCTTCATGAAAGCTGAGCCACCACAGAGGCTACCGCAGCCATAGTCATGGCCCAGACCAACAAAGAACTGGTCAGGTGGACTGAGGAACTCTGAGAGGAACCTGAAGGGGCACATCCTGCTGAGTGTGTAGAAAGAGGTGGGGCTTGGGAAGCGAATACAAAATCTTTGTCTCTATCTAAAACCTGATGAGAAAAAACCGTAATAGGGGCTGTGGTATCTCTCTGGGATGTGCTGTGGGAGGTACCTAAACATTGTGTTCAATGAAGTCAGCTTTCTTAGGTGACAGCAATTCCAGTGAGTAGAGGTGACACCAGCCTCTTCTCAGTGGGTGAACTGAGGTGGGAATTTGGAACAATTTGTTTTAAAGTCACTTTTGTGTGTGTCCATCTCTTGTTACAGCAGCTTCAAGGTTGCTATATCTACCACCAGGACTAACACAGGTTAGGTTGTCACCTGGGCATTATGATACTAGCTGGT